CCGTGTACATTCACCTGGTAACATCAAAGAAGGCAAGAAGGCCTCCTGCTCCCCCACAGGTCCACGCACGCCCCCTTACAGGGTGCACCCCCCCATGATGGATGGCATGAGGAGAATGGACTGGTGTTGGGTGTTCTCAGTTCATGTGGGAAGAAGCACCTGTATCAGAGTTGTGCCAAGGTGCTGAACTTGTGCTCGGGGGGTCAGGGAGTCGAGGTGGACACAGGTTTTTGGTTCAGACCTTGCCCCGAAGGGCAGATGGAGGGTCCTGTATAAGCCACCTGTTGAGAAACAGGTTGGTGACCTCCACTGGAGGATTTATAGCCACGAACAGACACACAGCTAGACCCGACTACTAGGGGTGGATGTCTGTTTTGTGAACAACAGGAGTCGCTGTCACTTGTTTTTGTCCTGTGTGAGGTTAAAAAGCCTGTTTAGTTTATTGCAGGAATGGGTGGAAGCCCTGGGTGAGCGTTTTTCTATGGCAGTTTTTGTTTTTAGTCTTAAGTACAGAGCTTTGAAAAAGAAGACTCATGTCTTAATCAATTTCCTTCTTGGTATGGCAAAGTTCGCAATTTGGAAAACGAGGAAACATGAAATGCTTGGACAGGGTTGGACTGATGCAGCACTTAGTTTTAAGGGCTTAGTTGCATCGAGATTGAAAGTTTTTATCGTGTTACTTGTAATCTACAGATGTTTACAGATTTGTGGTGTATTAGAAATGTTTTATGTTCATTGAGGGAGGATGGTGCACTTGTTTTGCATTTTTAGAGTGATATTATTATTCAGTGTATTTGTTTTGATAACTACACGTGGATCTAAGTGTGTGTGGTTTTTGGGTGGTGTTTTTGTGATGCTTCCTTTGACTTTGTGAGCGTTTTGTTTGTATTATTGAATTGTGATATGAATAAATGTGTTTGTTAAAGGTCAAACGTCTTTCTTTCTTTCTCAGGACGTACCAACCTGTAGAGTTTGCTTCTCTAATATTGCAGCAGTTTCTTGGATGCATTTCCTCTGTTTTGGCAGTTTACGGATGGCTTGTTCCACCTGCTCCCTTGACTGCGTGTTGTCTGTTCACAGTAAAATCTTCCACATGCAAGCACCACACCTCATGATGTGCTGTGCAGGCGACAGGAATAGGATGCAAACGCAGGACTCACAACACAAAGGGGTGAACTAAAGGAGGCAGTAAAACATCTGGACGTTAGATAAGGTTAAACGACTCGATTCCCTTATTTGAAGGTAAATACCTTAGTATTAGTAGGTAAATATAGTTATGCTGGAATTACAAATAATTAAAGCGTACTTAGGGCCTTAGTATCATGCCAAAATAGGAACCCCACATTTTATTGTGTTTTGTTGTGCTATTTAAACATATTATAAGGTGTCATGTTTAAAGTATTAGTTCTTTTCAAGTTACTAATCAGATTACCACTTTTGTTGCTTTTCATTAAAAAAAGCAAAGACCTAAAAACGGAGAGCAGTGAATAATGCAATAACTGAATGCTGCCATTCATTTATTGCATTATTCACTCCTGGACTGTGTGAAAGCTGCGCCACAGCTGAATGCTGACACTGTAAAGGACAGAGTGAGGGAGACAGACACCAACAGATTACCCACGTG